TTTTGACAGGAAAATGCAACAAAGAGTATGGTTTACATGTAGCGTGTCGATTCAGCGTGGTATGCAAGACCCCCGCTCTCTCTCTTTGCATGTGTGAGAAACACAGCTCTATCAGTAAAGCGACGGCGAGTCGTGCGCCTTCACTCTAGTTTACGGTGCGCCAAATACAGGTGCGCTGCGTGCTACATCCATTGAGTACATGACATGATCCATTGAGCGCATCCAAATAGTACAGAACGCTTGACAGAGAGCGAAACTCTCAAGCGCTCAGTCAGCATGTTTATCGAGTGAAAATCTGTGTTGAACGTCTCTCACACACATACTGGCGTGTAAAATCTAAGAATTTATTAGCCGATTTTGTATGTTATTATAACCTAAAGATGCTATGTGAAAGTTTGAAACAGAAAATAGTGGTTTTCTTCTTGCCACTTTCTTGGTAAAGAAAACACATTTTTACTCAAATTAATCCAAATGGATTTATAGCGTTTTGAAACCAAACTCTTCAAATACTATCCAGCATAAAGCACAGTTTTCAGTAACAGTCTCACGTGCGCAAAGCACGCAGAGTAGTTTCGTTTTGAGTGAAAACAGGGCGGAAACGCTGGGACGTTTTAAAAGAGTGCTAAGAGAATTATACAAATTAATATATGAATTAATTTATTATATGAATGGTGGTTCTGCCTGTCTTCAGAAACGATTCGATGGCATTTTGTTTTCATCGTCGCTCCATGTAATACCTAAAGGACGTGTTCTTAATCACAATAAGCTTTGTGCATGGAGGTTACGGGAAACAGCTGTAATTCTGCTTGTCCATAAGCGCCACCTGTTGTCAGCGAGTGGATTTACAGAGACTTATATTTACATTCAGCCTGTGTGCAGTTTCTGTCTGGCCAAAAAATTGACTGAATTTGCATGCCCTGCTGTCAATTTTGACCGGTTGATGAAAAACAAGCTTATGTGGACTCTACACATTTAAACAATTCAGATAAGTTATCTAGAATTATTCATGGAGCAGATAAAATACATATAATCATTCATTAATCAATTATCATTTTGACTTATATCTTTTCTTTATTTATCAATCAATTTAGTCATCAATTAAATCCAACTGAGCTATGGCCATGGAACCAATTAATCTCATGTATTTCTGAACAATTAAGATATTACTTGTCACCGGCATTAATGCAGTCATTAAGTAGTCAATTTCATTATGAACTTAGATAACTTAGATCAAAATTACATTACAAATTTAAGTTAATGTTTAAAAAAAAAAAAGTCACAAATTCAGTAAAAAGTGACCGAAGAGCAGCAGAGGGTTTAATAGTGATCAAATTATACGCAGAATGCAATCAGAGAACGCTCCCTTCATAATCAGTTGAGCTGTCAATCATTCTCAAGTTCAGCATGAGTGATTTGAGTTCTGCACTTTCACCAAAACTCCCGTTATAATCAGTACACTGCTCAATCAATGCAACCTTTTAGGCAATGCCAGTAGGTCTAATTATAAAGTTATAATCATCACATATTTAATGTCTGCTGCTCTGCTCTAACAGTAATAACAGTAAAGAGTTCCACGGGTAGGCATGGGCCGATTACCGGTTTCAAGGTATACCGCGATTTGAAAATGTCATGGTTTCAAAACCGCTAATATTTTCGGTTATACCGTTCCTGCGGTATGCGTTGTTTTTCATGTCTCCTCAAAGACTGAAAGTGTAGGAATCCCTCAGGTTGAGTGCAGTGTAGAGAGTAACACGACACTCCTCCTCCTGCTGGTGCGAGCAAGCGGTCAGTCACGTGTGTGTAGGACAGCCGAACTTAAGGAGCTTCCCCTGGAACTCATGCGACCGGCAACCGGCCGTTTTTTGTCTTATTGCAAGCAACTTGTCTCTGTTCTGGACTTGCACAAACTGCGTTGCAATGCAATCGTTTTCCAAAATGTCATTTATGTGAAAATATGAAGTCTGTAAACGCCCGTTAACACAGGCCAGAGATGCTGAAGACGGACGCACAGAGAAAAATACTGTAGCAGGCATATCACTCACTGTTCATGATGCACAAACTATTAGAAGAATGTTGATTCAGTATTGATTTGGGGGGTTATATGAATGTGTTTCTGAGGGGAACTGACTGTCTTCAGAAAAGTTTACCTTTTTTTTATCTCGTCTCTGTATAGTTCATATTAAAGTAGTGTTTCAGCGCAGTGCTGCTTTGTTTACAGCGGTATCCAATGAAACGCTGTATCTGCTGCTCCATGAGCGCCTCCTGCTGTCAGAGAGTGAATCTGCATCTCATTCAGAGCATCTGCTGTTTGCTTCGCACTAATATACACCTTTTGAAAAGAGTACTGTCCTAGTGACAGCTTTTGTACTTTTTTTCTGAGAGTGATAGACTGCAGATTATTGCCATATGATATGCTTTATTTGTAGCTATATAATTGTCTTGATTAGCATTTAGAAGTGCATATGATTACTTGTTATGGGCCTGTTGTTGGTTTGATAATTTCTCTCATACTAATAATTGAATATTATTATGTTGTTTGATACCAGGTGAATTCTTGTCTGGCCGACTGATTGATAGATAGCAGATTATTGCAGATCGTTACATTGTCGGCTAGTCTATTTCTTTTGGATTTAGAATAGCAGATTATTATGATTTGGTTGTTTTAAGACCTTTTTGTTCAGGCACTCTAGATAGATATCATCTTGTTTGGCATTAATATTTGCAGATATTATTTGTTATGTACAAATAGATTTGTTGCTGACTGTTGTTGTTACAATACTTTGTGTATTTTGCAATCTTCTATACAATTTATACATAAATCATGTTATTTGTTATATTCCATTTTCAGATAGATGGATTGCTGATTGTTGTAATGCTTTATTTGTGTTTTGTCATGTTGTTTAGTATTAATACTTGCAGATTGTTAGTATTTGATAGGCTATAGGATGTCAGATATGTAGACTGATCTCTGATTGTTATGCTTTATTATTTCTATTTTGCAATCTTTTTTATATTCATGACTGACAGCTGTTAATTGTTGAGTTATATTGTCAGATTGACTGCTGATCATTGTATGCTTTTATTTGTATTTGGTCATTTTGTTTAATAATTTCAGATTGTTATTTCCTCAATAGATAGATAGATGATTGTTGTTACATTGTATTTGCATGTTGTCATCTTTTTCATTTTCATAATTGCTGACTGCTATTTGTTGTATTATATTGTCAGATAGATAGATTAGATTGATACCTGATTTCTGTAATGCTTTATTTGTGTTTTGTAATTTATTTTTTTTATTAATACTTGCAGATTCTTATTTGTTCTAATATAGCGTCAGATAGATAAGTAAATTGATTGCTGATTGTTTTGCTCTTTTTGTGGGCCTATTTTGTCATCTTGTTTAATATTCATATTCATAATTGTTGACTGTTATCTGTTGCACTATATTGTCAGATAGATACCTGCTTGTTATAATGCTTTATTTCTATCTTGTCATTTTTAACATTAATAATTGCAGACTGTTCTTATACTGATAGACAGACAGAAAGACACAGATAGAGAGAGAGAGAGAGAGAGAGAGAGAGAGATAGATAGATAGATAGATAGATAGATAGATAGATAGATAGATAGATAGATAGATAGATAGATAGATAGATAGATAGATAGATAGATAGATAGATAGATAGATAGATAGATAATGTCCTTCCAGGAGAAGGGGGTGGTGGCAGAGACAGACAGACAGACAGACAGACAGACAGACAGATAGATAGATAGATAATGTCCTTCCAGGAGAAGGGGGTGGTGGCAGAGACAGACAGACAGACAGACAGACAGACAGACAGATAGATAGATAGATAATGTCCTTCCAGGAGAAGGGGGTGGTGGCAGAGACAGACAGACAAACAGACAGACAGATAGACATATAGATAGATAGATAGATAGATAGACAGACAGACAATGTCCTTCCAGACAGACAGATAGATAGATCATGTCCTTCCATCAGAAGGGGGTGGTGGCGGGAATAGATAGATTACTATGGAGATTTATTCTTTGCAGCTACCAGCTAACAACCACGCTAAGATTAATCCTAGTGATTTATCTGTTACTTCCGCTGCCAATCCTACTGGAAATTAATGTTTTACAGTCACTCCATGGTCTTCTGTAAATATGTTGCATCATTTTAATTATCCTGCATTAAAATACCAGATATACTGTCTTTCCTCCAAGTATGCCTACTGTTATTGTGAAGACTGCTGTTCATATTGCTGTCAGAGGTTTGATGAATACATATATTATTGCAGTTGTTGAGATTCGAAGAAATGGCTGGTAAAGTTGCAAAGGTGGTTTCATTTAAGTCCTTGACGAGGTCAATTTGTAGTATATATAGGCTAAAGTCCGTTTCAGGTGTTTCCTCTTAATGATGGCGTGCCTATTGTTGGGTGATGTACTAGACGAGAAAGTGTTAATACTCAGACGAGCATGAAAGAGTCTTCCAGGACAGGTCAGACCCATTGGCCTTTGCAGACAAATATCTGACTGAGAGGTACAGATTCTCAGGTGATGGCATCCGATATTTGTGTAGGCTGCTGGGTCCAAAACTACAACAGAAAAACACAGAGCCACGCACTCACTGTCCCACAGATGGTCTGCGTAGCACTGCGATTCTTAGCAAGTGGCATGTTCCTTTATTCTGTTGGAGATGCTGAAAACCTCAATAAAGGTACTATTTGCCACACGATAAGAAATGTTAGTCTAGCACTGAAATCACTTGCGCACATATTCATCACCTTCCCTGGCCACAGAAGATTCCTCCACATAAAGGAGTTCTACGAGATTGCAGGTAACACGAACTACAGATTACAATAATAAAGTGTTGCATTAGCACAGTCAGAGTAGGACACTCGTTATTTTGTGTTACAGCTTTCCCTAATGTCATTGGTGCAGTGGATTGCATCCATATCCGTAACATGAGGGAGATTATGTTAACAGGAAATCCTTCCACAGTATCATTGTTCAGGTAGGAATGATTTATGGTTACTGTCAGCTAGATAAATGATAAATGAAAAGATAAATTAATTCTGTGCATAAAATGACCTTAATCATGACCTTCTGGAGTCCAGCAACACAGTCCCATCATTGGCAGAAGTGCACTCCACTGCTGCAGATGCGCCTTCCTTTCTTTGCGTAATACAACTTTAGTTCCGTTTAAAAAAAAGGCTGTGAAGAGTTAAGATCTTGGCAAAGGAGTGTTGCATGTAAATGTGGCGTGATCTTTGCCAGTTGAGACTGCTGTCAGCCTTTTTGCATTTGACCTTTCACCCTGAAACATTCTGAAAGACAAATAAATGAAAATAGATACATTAACATTTTCCAGTCATAATGTGTGATTTCTTAAAAGGCACGCACGCTTAGTGATATTAGATTTCAAGAAGTGAAGATCACCAAAGTAAAGTATTGAAAGACTTATAACATTTAATCATCAGACAGAACTTTCAAACAATACATATTTTGCACCATTGGAAAAACATTGGCATGTAAACTTAAACATGTAGTGGATATGGAGTTAAAAGAAAGTGTTTGAGCACATACACAGTCAAAAGAAGCAATGATCGCCCTCAGATTAGGGGCAGTGTAAATCAAACAATAAGCATTGGCTAATAAGGATCCTCATAAGTGAGAACCATATGATAGGCATATCAATTATTTATGCAGACAATTACAGTATCTGAAGACGGCCACACAAACGGGACTCAAACATACCTTTCAAACTTCAAATTCAAAAGGATTACTCGCCCACTTACAATACAATACCATACTGCGATGCCATATCTACTTCTTTTGCACTAGAGGAAAACAAGGTAATAGTTTACACAGGACAGTCTCATCATCTGAAAACAGCCTGTGTTTATGGATTTTACGGTAATACATTAAACAGATTTTGTATTAGGTATAACAAGTCTTAAACAATACTGACCTCAGCAGTCTCTTCCTAAATATTTACAGGGAGAGAGAGGTATCAAAATGTCTTTATATTGCATCACAATGCAAAAGAAAGCAGGTAAATCCAAACCGCTCGCTATTGGCCACAGGAAAACAGTCACAGTCTGAATCAGTCATTTAAGATTAAAACAAGCTCAATAAAAATATCAGCCAAAGACAGTGATATACAGAGGAGAAATGCATAGGATTGACTTCGTACCAACTCAGTATGGAGACTTGTATTAATGGTGGCAACACACACACACACACACGAGACAGAGGAAGAGCTCTCTGTTTAAATTGGGTGACCGTCTCGAAACCTGTCCATGTCATACTTCACCCCAAAATCAAAAGAAAAAGGGAATTCATAAAAGGAATTATATTGTGCATGATAAACAAGAAACCTGTTTTATTTTGTGATATTATAATTAAGCACCTTTCCCCTCCAGTTCTCATTACTGTAATGCATCCAGATATTTTAATTTGTAGTTTTGCTGCAAGTCTCAGTTCTTAGTTATTCTCAACAGTTATTCTTATTAAATTCTTGTTATTGCTTACAAATTCGATTTTTTATTGTTATTTGATTCATTTATTTATTTATCGTGCTGCTTTTAATTAGAGATTAAAAGGTAGGATAGCAAGTACTACCAAAAAGTATAAATACAAGTTTTGCATTTTCGCAGGTTTTCATATATAAATATAAAAAATTATATGGTCATGAATGTCACGATCGCTACTGTCAGGAGCACGGAGCGAGGAACGAGGAGACGAGGAGTAAACTTCAAACGAACAGACTTTAATAAACATCCAAGGAACCAGGAACACACATGTAGCAGGGAAAGACGAACATTCAATACCAGACGACGAAACTCAGAACAAGACTCAATATAAATACACATGACTTGACGAGGGGATGACGAGACACACCTGGAACTAATGAACAATCAAACACATGGGAAAACTAGGTCAGGGCAGGTTCATCACCTTCCCTGGCCACAGAAGATTCCTCCACATAAAGGAGTTCTACGAGATTGCAGGTAACACGAACTACAGATTACAATAATAAAGTGTTGCATTAGCACAGTCAGAGTAGGACACTCGTTATTTTGTGTTACAGCTTTCCCTAATGTCATTGGTGCAGTGGATTGCATCCATATCCGTAACATGAGGGAGATTATGTTAACAGGAAATCCTTCCACAGTATCATTGTTCAGGTAGGAATGATTTATGGTTACTGTCAGCTAGATAAATGATAAATGAAAAGATAAATTAATTCTGTGCATAAAATGACCTTAATCATGACCTTCTGGAGTCCAGCAACACAGTCCCATCATTGGCAGAAGTGCACTCCACTGCTGCAGATGCGCCTTCCTTTCTTTGCGTAATACAACTTTAGTTCCGTTTAAAAAAAAGGCTGTGAAGAGTTAAGATCTTGGCAAAGGAGTAAAAAATTATATGGTCATGAATGTCACGATCGCTACTGTCAGGAGCACGGAGCGAGGAACGAGGAGACGAGGAGTAAACTTCAAACGAACAGACTTTAATAAACATCCAAGGAACCAGGAACACACATGTAGCAGGGAAAGACGAACATTCAATACCAGACGACGAAACTCAGAACAAGACTCAATATAAATACACATGACTTGACGAGGGGATGACGAGACACACCTGGAACTAATGAACAATCAAACACATGGGAAAACTAGGTCAGGGCAGGCACATGGAGAGGGAAAAACACACAGATACAGTCCAGGGGTGTGACAATGAACAGGCTTAATTTAATCTCACTTTGTTTTGGGGAGAAGTATGATCTGGACATGTCCAAGTTTTCAAACATTTATCCCACTATCTGAAGAGAAAAAAAAAAGATATTGGTATATCATATTTCATCAGAGATGTCCATCTTTTCTCATCAAAGCATGATAATAAACAGTCCAACAGGTCTATGACATCTGGAAATGCCAGTGATTGTCCTGCAGCTCTCCTCTTCATAAAAGATGAGCAATACACTTGATAACATTCAGCACGAGTTCTAAGTAATCAGCATTACAAGAAAATCCTCACTGTTCCCCAATATATTTGGCTCTCTAGAAACAGGCTTTTCTGGAATGATCCAGGATTTGGAATGCAGTCGTCTCATTCCAGGATTGGTGGTTTCTTAAACTACTCATGATGCTAAAGTCAACCAATAAACAGTCCAACAGGTCTATGACATCTGGAAATGCCAGTGATTGTCCTGCAGCTCTCCTCTTCATAAAAGATGAGCAATACACTTGATAACATTCAGCACGAGTTCTAAGTAATCAGCATTACAAGAAAATCCTCACTGTTCCCAATATATTTAGCTCTCTAGAAACAGGCTTTTCTGGAATGATCCAGGATTTGGAATGCAGCCGTCTCATTCCAGGATTGGTGGTTTCTTAAACTACTCATGATGCTAAAGTCAACCAGGATCCTACTAGTCAAATAAATAAGAAACCAATGTTAGTGTTAGAACAAATGAGCAAATAACAGGGAATAGATTCAATACTAGATTATTTCTAGATCTTTATATCGAGTAGTGTTGCCAGGATCACTACTGTGAAGGACCAGATAATTTTGAGGAATGAAAATGCCTAAATGACTTACCCTACATATGAGCTAATAGTAATCGACTAATGCTTGCCTTCACCACTAAAATCCATACTCACAGAGTATTCATGCCCTCCAGTGATTATGATTCCGTCCTAATAATGACTGAAGGTCCATTTTCATCTGAAAATAACATTGGATTGGAGAGAGTTAACACTTGTTTAAAAATCTGCCTAACAGCAGCTTTCTTTGAACAATATAAACTGGAAACACATGACGGTCACACTTACTATTAACTATGACTTTTGCCTAAATAAACTCCTAATTACTGCTTATTAACAGTCAGTAAGGCAGTGGTTACGTTTAGGTATTGGGTAGGATTAGGTATTAGGTATGTTTTTAAGCTTTATAAGTGCTAATAAACAGCCAATAAATAGGCATGCTAACAAGCAACTAGTTAATAGTGAGAACTGGTCCCTATACTAAAGTGTTACCCAAATTACTAAATATCAAATGTTACTGACCCCAAACGTCCATAAACCCTGTATCGTTCAGGTATTGCACTGCACCCGTATTAGATATAGCACCTCTATTTGAAATCCAAATATAGAGCTCCAGACTAACCACTGAGAGCAGTGCCACTAAATATTACATTTTGTCTCATGGAAATGGACAATAAAACACTAAGTTTGAGTTGGAAGGCAGATATGAATGTGTTACCCAAATGACTAAATATCAAATGTTACTGACCCCAAATGTCCATAAACCCTGTATCGTTCAGGTATTGCACTGCACCCGTATTAGATATAGCACCTCTATTTGAAATCCAAATATAGAGCTCCAGACTAACCACTGAGAGCAGTGCCACTAAATATTACATTTTGTCTCATGGAAATGGACAATAAAACACTAAGTTTGAGTTGGAAGGCAGATATAAATTCACTTATAACTGTAAAAACAGTGAAGATCTGTACAATTTGTATTCAGATTTTATTAGCTCAAAACTCAACACTTCCGTGAAGAAAAGCAGTTGCTGTTATTCATGTTGTTACCCAACTGACATACTATATACACTATGCACTTAAACTCACGCACTCATGTCTAGTGTATGACATCTTCTCAAAAGATTAAGACAGTTGGATTCCTCATGATACAAGCCTTCTAAAGAAGCAAAAATAAAAGAATCCACTGCCTACAGACTTGAGCATTTTTAACCAAAAATGATCAGATGTTCCAAAATGACAATGAAGTGCAATTAAGTTGCAGAAGAACTGACATTTAGTGGCACATTTAGTATATCAGATGTGCTTGAAGTACAACATTACATATTACGCTTTAGTTGCAGTATTAAAGATGTATTTCAACTTGAATGCGATCTCACCTGCGCTTTCTTCATCTGATCCACCGTCCTCCATCCATTTCCCCTCGTTGGCCAATAAAGGATTCTCAGATTCACGCAGGGTCCTCAGCGGGAAATAATGCCCATCACCCTGACTATGAGAGACAAACACAACACATGGGAAATATTCACACTAGCAGTCAAACGTTTTTTTAAAGAAGTCTCTTCTGCTCACCAAGTCTGCATCTATTTGATCGAAAGTACAGCAAAATCAGTAAAATATTGATACTGAGCAAGATATTTTTTACTATTTAAAACAACTGTTTTCTATTTGAATATGTTTTAAAATGTAATTTATTCCTGTGATTTCAAAGCTGAATTTTTAGCATCATTACTTCAGTCTTCAGTGTCACATGATCCTTCAGAAATCATTCTAATATTATGATTTGCTGCTCAAAATACATTTATTATTATTATTATTATGTTGAAAACAGCTGAGTAAAATTCTTTCAGGTTTCTTTGATGAAGAAATAGAACAAAGTACAAAAGCATTTA